CATAACCAGTCACTTGGCTAAACTGTATTGGGCCTCAAAAGAAAGGCAATGAAGAGTTGCCGCCGAAACAAACCATGTTGCCCACGATGACACATCTGATAATGTGATGAATGAAAATATCACGCACCTGGATACCGATGATCTGCTTGACATAACTGATGATGTTAAATGAAAAAATATTGTTGTATCTCTTTTGTTATTTTGATGCTTTTAGCCCCCATTTTTTGTATTACTCTCAATAATATAAGTCTATTTTGATTATGTTACTAATACATGTCTTTTAGTATTTCTACCTTCTTGCAAAGATATGGATGCCAAATATTTTGGAGCCAATGACAATATCTGTCTTATCGACGGTGCTATGACTCACAATATTTTGAAAAATAAAATTTATTTCTCTCATCTAAATATAGGAAAGACCATTATTTTTACTATCAGTGGTGCATAAAAAATGATTGAAGGCTCAGGAAAAACTATCGTATTTCTCCCAAAAAGGACAAAATTGGCAATTGAAAATGCCCTGTTCTCGAGCAAAGCTTGAAGGAATTTACTGAGCTTTAGTGATATTCGGAAAAATGGGTATCACATTAAAACATTGAATGAGACAGAAAATGAGTATCTCATGATAACTCAAATTGTGAATGGAAAAAGAATTGTGAAAGAAAAATTGTCATCATTTTTTTTTTCCGGCTTGTATTATTCAAAAGTTAGTGTCGTTGAAACATATTACCTAGTAGACCAAATGACTACTAGCGAATTTAAAACTTGGCACGATCAACTTGGACATCCTGGCAATGTAATGCTGAGGCGAATTGTTAAAAATTCAAATGGCCACCCATTGAAAAAGAAAAATATTTTGACTCCGAATGAATTTGCTTGTGCTGCCTGTTCCCAAGGAAAGTTAATAATCAAGCCATCTCCAACAAATGTTGGTTTTAAATCCCCAGCTTTTCTGGAAAGAATTCATGGTGATATTTGTGGACCAATAGATCCACCGTGTGGACCCTTTAAGTACTTTATGGTACTAATTGGCGCGTCAATGCGATGGTCACATATATGTTTGTTATCTACTCACAATCTAGCTTTCGCTAGACTACTTGCACTAATAATTAAATTGCGAGCACAATTTCCAGATCACCCGATAAAGAAAATATGTTTAGATAATGCTGGAGAGTATTCATCGAATAATTATATGATTAATGTGGAACATCTTGTTCCCCATGTACATGCGCAAAATGATCTGGCTGAATCTCTTATCAAAAGATTGCAACTAATTGCTAGACTATTGTTAATAAGGTCTAAACTTCCAGTATCAGCTTGGGGACACGCCATATTGCATGCAGTAGCCCTCGTGAAAATAAGGCCGACAAGTTATCTCTGTTATTCCCCTACTCAATTGGTATCTGAAAAAGTACCAAATATATCTCATCTGCGAATATTTGGATGTGTTGTTTATGTACCAATTGCGCCACCCCAACGCACAAAAATGGGACCTCAAAGAAGGTTAGGTATATATTTCGGGTATGAATCACCCTCGATTGCGATCGATTGCGAAATATTTTGAACCAAAAAAGGGTGATTTATTTACTACAAGGTTTGCAAACTATCATTTTGATTAATCTTATTTTCCGACATTAGGGGGAGACAGTAATCAACTGAAAAAAGAAATTTCGTGGAAAATACCACTTGAATTTAATCCTCGTACGAAACATAGTGAACTTGAAGTTCAAAGAATTGTGCATTTGCAGAAAATTGCAAATCAATTACCTGATGCTTTTAATGATGTTGCCAGAGTTACTAAATCATATATTGCAGCAGCAAATGCACCAACTAAAATAAATATTTCAGAAGGAAAGGTGCCACTGAGTGCTAATGAGCATACTGCCCATGTAAAACGTGGCAGACCGTTGGGTTCTAAGGATAAGAATCCACGAAAGAAGAAAATTGTAAATACTGGTGAAGATATCAATAATAATCAGATACCTGAAAAGGTCAGTACTACCCCTGAAGAGGTTGATACTAAAAATTCTGATGAAGTTATTGAAACTTCTGTTAACTATAACACCATTGGAAAATATTGAAATAGAAAGAAAATGAATGTTGATAATGCATTTGCATATTTTGTAGCACTCGATATGATAAAAGATGACGAGGATTATGAACCAAAATTAATTGAGGAATGTCGGCAAAGAGATGATTGAGCAAAATAGAAAGACACAATTCATTCTGAATTGGACCCATTGAAAAAACGGCAAGTATTCGGCCCCATAGTTCAAACATCTGAAAATGTAAAACTTGTTGGCTACCGATGGGTGTTTGTGAGAAAAAAAAATAAAAATAATGATATCACAAGATATAAAGTAAGGCTTGCAGCCCAGGGTTTTTCCCAAAGACCGGGTATTGATTTTGTAATTGATGGAATAACATTCAAGTATTTGGTGAGTCTGGCAGTAGCCGAAAATCTTGATATGCGATTAATGGATGTGATTATTGTCTATCTTTATGACTCCTTAGACAATGATGTCTACATAAAAATTCAGAAGGGGTTAACATACCTGAATCATTCAAATCAAAGCCAAAAGAATTATATTCCATCAAATTGCAAAAATCTTTGTATGAGCTCAAACAATCGGGCCGAATGTGGTACACTCGTCTCAGTGAAAGTTTAACAAAAAAAGGTTACATAATAATCCCATATGTCTATGTGTTTTTATAAAGAAAAATGGGTTAGAATTTGTAATCATTGTTATATATGTCGATGATCTTAATTTGATTGGAACTCCTAATGAAATCCAGAAAGCTGTTGAATATCTAAAAAAGAAGTTTGAGATCAAAAATTTTGGAAAAACTAAATTATACCTTGGTCTGCAAATTGAGCACTTGGAAAGTGAAATCTCATCTACCAATCAAATTATACCAAAAGGGTACTGAAACAAGTCATGATGGACAAATCACATCCGCTAAGTACCACAATGATCGTCAGGGCACTCGATCCAGCAAATGATCCTTTTAGACCAAAAGAGGAAAACGAAGAAACACTTGGCCCTGAAGTGTCATATGTGAGTGCTATATGTGCATTAATGTATCTTGCTAATAGCACCCGACCTTATATATCATTTGCTGTAAATTTATTGACAAGATTCAGTTCATCGCCTACTCAATGACATTGGAATGGGATTAAGCACATTTTTCGCTATCTCCAAGGAACAATTAATCTCGGTTTATTTTATTCGAAAGATTCTCAACATGAATTTATTGGTTTTGCCGGTGCAGGATATATATTTGATCTTCGTAAAGCCAAGTCTCAAACTGGCTATATATTTACTTGTGGCGTAACTGTGATCTCTTGGAGATCAATGAAACAAACCCTAACTGCCACTTCTTCAAATCATACTGAAATATTGGCAATACATGAAGCTAGTCGAGAATGTGTTTGTTTGAGGTCAATAACTCAAAATATTCTGAGAAATTGCGGGTTAATCACTGCCGATAAAATTTCCCTAACTATAATGTAGAAAAATAATGCATCTTGATAGCCCAATTGAAAAATGGGTTATATCAAAAGAGATAGAACGAAACATATTTCACCAAAATTCTTTTTCACTCATAATCTACAAAATGGTGAAATCAATGTGCAACAAATTCGATCAGATAATAATTTGGTGGATATATTAACCAAGACATTGTCGACGGCATCATTTGAAAAACTGGTGAAGAAAATTGGGATGCGTGGTTTAAGGGATCTCAAATAATGCTCATATTAAAGGGAGCAAATTGATACAAGAATATTGTACTCTTTTTCCTTCACTAGGATTTTTTTCTAGTAAGGTTTTAACGATACATATTTTTTGTATAAAGCATTCAAGGGAGAGTGTTATATACGTATCAGTTTCATCTCATAAATGTGGATGCTTTAGTATAAATCCACGTATCACTTATGTTGAATAATTTTCAACTGCTGAATGTATTAATATTTGCGTATAAATATGTCCTATGAATGGAATGAAATGATACACTACAATTCAATATAATTATTTTCTCGCACCCTCCCAACATACTACTTCCATATTCATGTCATACATATAGGCTATAAATATAATATATATTATATATATACATTTATATATATACCATATACATATAATATGTATTATACACAATATATATAATATAATACAAAATATAAAATAGTTGTTAGCGGTAGAAATAATTAATATTTCTATTGTCTATCCTTATAAATAATATTACTACAAGATATACATCATTGTTATTATTATTTAAATGTTACGAGGTGAAGGCATTGTATTCAACAATGTTTTAAAATGATGAAGAATGAGTGTGTTTGTTTGCGGGATTTTCCTCCAAATACATTATTCATCTAATTTTTTTTCTCAAAAATATTAAATTAAATATTTATTTTTTATTTTTTATATTATAATAAAACTCAATTTTACATTCAAAACATCACATCAACATCTATTTATATAATATCATACAACTATTCAAATTCAAAATTTTTATTATTCAAATTTAAAGTCAAATCCAATTCCCCAAACAAACACACATTTATGTATTATTGTGATACTAATGTAAAAGTCAAATTGTCACCGTACTGGTAAAAAAACAAATGAAAGTTTGACCAATTAAAGAATAAAAAAAAAAAAAGAAAAGATCGAGTGACTAAATTCTTTGAAACTAATAATATTTCATTTTTTCATTATCAATTTATTAAAGTGTTCAGATATATTCGGTTAAGTGAATTATCCAATAGTTAAATTTGCCATTATTATTTTCCATAATACACAAGTGAAACTAATTCATCTCATTTCAACAAATTAAATGTGATAATCCTTTGCTGTAATGCGGGTGCAGAATCCAACGCGTGCACCGACAAACACTGTAACATTTCCCATCCCCAATTTAGGGACCAAAAAAAAACAGTAGAAATATATATATATAATATATATATATAATTTTTTGTTTTTCAAATAAATAAAAAAGAAAGAAGCTACAGACACGGACTGCCGAATCAGACAAGCGAGTCGGCTCTGAGCTCGGCTCGGCAGAGCGGGCAGCTCGGCTGAGCCGCGAGCCACTTATCCACACAGTCAGAATGAAAGCGATGGTTGCATTGCGGCAGCACTTTCACTTTGTCCCCATCGGCGAAGACTCCGAGGCATATGCAGCATTCGGCGTCGGCGCCGCCGGACGAGCCGAGCTTGTGGAGCACAATCGGAAAGCTATTAATCGTAGCCGGGTCGAGGCCGCCGGCGCCGGCCAATTGCGCGGTGGAGAGCGACAGCCCTTGCGGCGCCGGCGCCGGCGCCGGCGACGAGTGGCCGGAGCGGCAGACCCAGCGGGCGTAGAGGAAGAGGAGTGCGACGACGAGAATGACGGAGAAGAGGACGATGATGAAGAAGAGCGTACGGCCGCGGATTTGGAAATTGCTGTCGTCGAATTCGGCGTAGTGCCACCGGAATGGCGTCGTCGGCTCTTGCTGGTACGACATGGCGGCGGCGGCGCCGGTGCCGGAGGAGATCAGAAGAGCTTGTTTAGCTTGCTTGCTTTTGGATCTGAGGTTGCAGTAGTGTATGTATCCATGTATTGTAGAGTGGGGCCGAGATAGGTATATGTATTATATTATATATATGTAAATGTATATGTATATCTCTGTGTGTAGAGTAAAAAAAGGCTGGAGTTTGCAGTTGCACCAGAAAGTCGGGGCAACGGATTTCACATAATTTTATAAAAGGGTAAATTCGACCTTTCACTCACCTAGCCGGGACCAATGTTTTTATGCAAAATCCAATACTTTTTGTTCCGTCCCTTTTCTAATACTAATTCTTGTTTACATATTATTATTATTTTATTTTTTATGACGTGAAAGAACTACAGCTACTATTCTTATTGGCCGTTTCAAGTAAATTCTTAATTAAATTTAATAACTTACAAAGTAAGTTTAATAAAATAAATTACATAAGATAAATTATTTGTGACCGATAAAAATTGGAAACCTCAAAATTTGAACCTATGACATTAATGCATGCTGAAGTTTTAAAATCTCAATTTTATTTTAAAATATTTATTATTTATTATAGAATATTACATTAAATACCTACGTAAACCCCTTGGCGAATATAAGAGCCTGTAAATTAGGTCTAATAAAATGTTGAATATTGTCCCACAACTCCACCTATCACCAATTGATTTTAAGTTGGAAACTCCGTTATCCGAAAATGTGCACTGAGTAAATCACCGGCCGAACCTAACATCCGAAAAATCACACTAGGCGAACCATGTATGACAGGTGACCTGAAACGTAGGAGTTTTAACCCATGACCTCACGATCACAGGTCTAAACTTTACACAACCAGACCATCCCTTACGGACCATAATTATTTGTATTTGATTGTGAAGTGCGTGGACCAATCAATATTAATTTTGCTGGGAGTGAGGATAAAGAGTTTGTTTCCTTTGTGTTTTAGATGAATATTTTTTTAATATTAATTATTCGTCTCATAAGAATAATATTATTTTGTTTTTGTCCCAAAAGAAATATATTATTTTTTAATTTAACAATTGTACTATTTATCTGACATAATTTTTATAACTTACACTACATTATATAAATATTATTATTTTTATATTACACCATAATATTTTTTGTCTTATTTACAACAAATCAATATAATACAAATATTTAAAATATACGTATAAAAAACAAATAATGATCTTGTTGTTAGAACCTTCTGGAAAATAGGTAGTTATATTAGTAGCTATTTTTAGAGTTAGTTATTTATGGTTATTTTTAGAGGTAGTTAGTAGTTATTTTTAGAAGTAGTTATTTATTGGCGGTTGTAACCGCCAAGCTTCTAGAAGCTTTTTCCCTATAAATATCCCATCTAATTGTACCATATAAATACACCATAGATATATATATACACCATATATACACAATAATATACATTCCATTTTCTCTATTTCTTTTCTTCCGTATTTTTATCTAGTTTAATAATACGAGATATTCGGTTTTGCGTTGCGAGCAAACTGATTTTCTCCCTTTTTTTCTTTTAATTTCTGCATAGTATTTTAGCTAGTAAAATTCCTATCATATTTCTCCACCTCACCTTCACCCGAAAATTTTATGTTCGATTTGAATTGTTCAAGTTGGATTTCAACAAGGTTGCGGAAGGGCGACAAAAGAATCGACTATTTCAGCCCTGTTATGCGCCAAAAGCGGTTTCCGGGTAGTTCAACGTAGCTAAGTACGCGGGAGCCTTGTCAACCTGCTTAGTTGCTGTTCTGAATTCGATTTTGATTAAAGAGAGGTAATAAAAGGGGTAGAGCCACTAGCGGAACGGTTGGAAGAATATTTCATGGGGCATAGGCGGGGGTCTATTGGGTCACAGAGATTCCTAGTGACAGTAGGGTTTCTTGCTTATAATGTTCTTCGCCGGGTGTCGCTGAAGCCTCGTTGTAAATCCCCCAAGATCAAGTACCAACCGAGTCGAGAATCGGCTTAACCGAGCAAATGCGATCACGTTCATTCCTCCGAGCCGCTCCGCAGTTATACATATATCTTTCGCTATTACGCAATCGTCATCCCGCTCATTTCATCCATGGAAATCTAGCCATTAAGGAACGCAAAAGTCAGACACAAACGCCTCGCTTCATCCTTTTCGAGATACGTATATTTTATCGCTTTTTAGTTAGATTTAATTTTCGCAATTTATCTTTTCAATTTCTTCGATTGCATTAACTCATTGCACTTTTTCTAATTAGATATAGGATATTCGCATATTCCCTGAGTTCGACCCGGACACTCACCGGTTAAAGAGATTTTTTTTTATTTTTGATGAAGTTTTTGGAGTTACTACATGAACACGCACGACACTATTTTCATTTTATACATATATCCTTTTTTTTGTATCTTAAAAGATATTTTAAAAACTCTCCAAAAATCTTCGATCAACTACATGTGAGAATATTTGTGTGTATTCTTTCTTGGTGTTTCTTTATGAATGCTTTGTGATTGTATTTCTGAGTATTGTTTATGGTAGTGTTCGGCCAAACAAGATTTTTTGTGATTATTGTTCCTCGTAATTGCTTAGTGTTTTTATAGGGTTAGCATTCCTTTTAGTTACTTATGTTCTTCTAAGTTTGCTCCTTGGTTACTTAGTATTCTTCTAGGTTAGAATGTGTAAGTGGTTGAGTCTCCGGAGATCTTAGTAATAGTGGTCGATCAATCCAGGTGTTTAAGTTGTAAAACTTTGTACTTAGTCCGTAGAGGTATGCGATAGAGCTCTAGAGTTTAGTACTTAAAACTTTCTGACGGTCTAAAGCTGAGTGTTCTCTAGTTGACGTCAAATAAGATAGAACGTCTTTTTTGTGATTATGAGTTTTGTTGAATTGCTTTCCTTTTGTGTTCATTTACCATATGTAAATTCATTGGGTTGAATCTGTTTAAATTTGCTTATACTCTTGTCTTGTAGAAATTTTATACAATGTGCTAGGTTGCTGTGTGAGAATCTAGGTATATATTCGGACTTGTGTGATCACATGTGATATGTTTCTTCTGCATAATATTTGTTTTTGGATGCAGAAGGGACAAAAGGATACAATGGAACTCATTGGTATATGTAAGTTTATATCTATGTAAATATATATTTGAGATTTGATTAAATCATGACAAAATTAGGCCGAGTATGTTGGAAATCTTAGCCATTCGAGGCCTAACCCAGACGCTCCCTCGATAATACAATAATTGGCCCATTCCTTTGCCCACCGGACTGGGTCTATACCCTTTAATCCAAACCGAAGCCCATTTCCATTTAACCATAAACCAAGCCCTTATAACCAATCCGTAACCATTTTAGTTAATTTGTTATTGGGTGATTATTTTCAGAGGGATGATTTAGTTTTGGAGTTTTGGGTGACTGAGTAGTTACAACCACCGAGAGTGAAAAAGTGAGATAGAGAGGAGGAGATGCAGAAACCGATAGGTATTCCGATGAAGTCCGGTGAGGTTTTCTGGTGAGGTTCCGAAGCCTTTTCTTTGTGCTGATTCCGGTAGGTGTCGAGACTTATAGTATTTAGCCGACCTCTTACCTTACAGCGTGGTTACTTCGGGTCATTTTGCACCATGGGCTTAGCCTTAGATTCGAATCCCTTTGCCGATAAAGAAACCGGAGAAAAATCGATGTTCGCAGCTTTGTTCATCGGAGAAAATTGAAGCAAGAACAATGGAGACGCAGAACTGTTCAACAAGGAAGAAAGCAATCAGAGTTTGGAGCGATTGCGGAAGAAGTGTGTCGAGGCTAAATCGGAGCATTCGGGATTGCCGGAGGAGAAGTTGTTCGGAAAACATCGGAGAAGTCAACCAGAGCCTTGTGCAGGTTGACATTTGTTCTGCCAGAGTTGTTCGTGGCCACTTTAGCCGCCGCCGTCCAGGAGGAATATTCCGGCGAAGGTATTGTCGTCGTCGTTGATGGTTGAAATTGTGCCTCGCACTGGAGATCAATTTCGGCAGAGAGACACGAGTAGGGAAGTTGGATTTAATTTTTCCAATTCAATTAAATATTATGTAATTCAAGAAAAAAAATGTAAGAATTATACAATATTTTTAGAGGATATTACTGAACATGACCAAAAAAAATATTGAATTTAGAATCATAGTACGAGGGCCAATGGATTTCCAAAGTTTAGGCCTAATGATGTTTTTGGATAGTATATTGAGATATTACTAAAAAGTGGAAGAAAAATTTTGGATTTTTGTCAACTCCCGTGGATGAGCCGGTGTCAAACCATTCGAGGTTGAATATAGATTAAATAGATTGAATAAACTTTTCATATCAACAATATACATATTTATTTTCGAGAATCCTACTGAAAGAACTCTAGAGGATGGGTGATCTTCTTCCAAGGTGCGCATGAATGAGGACATAAACGCACTGTAAAAAACTCGTGTTGATCCGTGGGACCGGTCTATGATCTCGACATGCTCGGCTTTGCGTGACTTGCGAGCCGGGGTGACACAATTTTAGAATCGGATGAGAGAATAATGATTTATGGATTTTATTTTATTTTTCTAATGGGGGATGATTATAAAACTCTTTAGTAAGAATCTTTCAAAAATTAATAATTAGGCTAATGAATGAAGTCATTATTGATGGGAGATTAAAAAGAAACACACATAGATGGGCTGATCCAGAATTAAAATTCCAGAATTTGGTTACTTTTTTTCTTACCTTTTTATTGCATTTTTTTTTTCTTCTTTTGTGTTCTTTCACTTGATGCTTTATATACATATATTTCTTTTATCAAATGAAATCACTTTACTTTATTCTTATTTTACAACTCTTCCTAATGTTTTGCAAGCTTTGAGTTCTAATTTATCTTTTACAATTTCTTCAATCCTCATCAATTTTTATCCCGAAAACTACACTTTACATTCTTTCGTCCAGTAAAAACGTCTGGTAGGCTGTCGACGGTAATTTTCTGATGATAACAAATTTATATCAGACATATATTTTCCTTAGATTGTAAAATATATATATTTTTATTATTATTAAAGCATAACAAGAAACATATATAGACATAGTATCAAATTTATAATATTTTAATTAAAATTATTACTTTTCTTAAACTCTACATTAATGTGTGATATCAAATTTATTTTTATTTTTCTTTTAATTCGTCTGCTAAATTGACATTATTCCTAATTTTTTAAATAAAAAAATTAATATTTAACTATTATTCTTTTAAAACAAATAACACTATATTTATTGCATTTCTCCTTTTTTTTTAGTTACTAATTAAAATTTTAAAAATAACCCACCTACTTTTTTTACTTTTATTATTTTTTCAATAATATATTTATGTATTATTTTCTTTAAAATTTTTGTGTCAGACCAAAATATACTAATTTGAATAGAAGGAGTGAGTATAAAATATCATAAACCACCCTCTTCTAGATATATATATATATCTATGTATTTTCTTTGTCCGAAATAATTATTTCTTTTTTATTGAATATTAACATTAAAAAATAATAGTATTTTAATATAAAAATAAAATAGATAAAAAATAAAGTAAGAGCATTATAAAAATTGGTTAAAAAAGAATTAACAACAAAAAATAAAAATACTTGGTAAATATAAAAAATAGTTGTAAATTAATCTTTACATGTTAAAATAGATATACAATAAAATTACGAAGGACTAAATTCACTTACTACAAACAAAATATATATAAATTTAACACACACACACACACAAAAAGGGCATAATTATCCTGATAGAAAAGAGTATATCACAAACAGGTAGGAATAAACCAACACAACACTAGTGCACTCAATCAACGTAAACTAATGAACTAAACACTCGAAACTAAAGAACAGTTATGGAAACTGAAATGAACAGAACGGATCGCCATCGGCCATGATCAGCTCGCTGGGGCTCAGCTCGACGTTGAAATTAGAAGCCTCTACGAGGAACGGCGGGTGGTGGTGGTCGAGGTAGCAGGCGAGGCGGGCTTGGGCGAGGGCGAGGTCGTGCTGCAGCTCGGCCATTTTGCGCTGCAAGGACGCGATGGCGCCGATGCAGCCGTAGATGGGGTCGTGCAGCCGGACCTCGGCCTCCAAGACGAGGGAATTCATGGCCTCCTCGCGCCGGCACTCGGCCACCTCCTGAAGTATCTTGCTCACGTTGCTGGCGCCGAACACCTTGTGCACTTTTACGAACTTTTTGGGCTCGTCCGCCGGGAAGTATGGCGCGAACGGGCAGCTCGGGCTGCATCGTCGCTTCAACAACTTGCACGCGGAACATGAAGAGGTCGACCGGGCTTCTTGGCTCTTCATTCTTTCGCTCTCGCTCTCCTACTCACTAGTTCGAGCTCTTGCTCCTCGTGATTAATGGTTATTCACAATATATATATATATATATGAGAATGGTTACGGTGTTGATTTAGAAAATTCGGTATCTTGCTGATTTCTCATACAAATAGGACGTGTTTATATTACATACAACGCATTCTGTGTGGAATAAGGACATGTGTTTTTTGTTTATTATTTAATATGTTATATAAGAGTATGTCATGTGCTAAAATTAATTCTTGCGTGTGTTGTACGAGACTATAGAGAAAATTGCATAAAATATCCCTTATGTATACCTCATTGTCACTTTTGTCCTGTATTTATCTCTCTGGAAAAATATATCCTACGTGTTTTTAAAAGTCGCTATTTATGTCATTTGGTCGCTCGTGACATTCACCCCACACGCGGTCACGCACGGCTACGCGCGGCCAAAGAATAAAAATAACGACTTTTGCAAATATGTGGGATATATTTGTCAACAAGATAAATATAGGAAAAAAGTGATAATATGACATATATGAGGAATATTTTTTGCAATTTTTTCCAAGACTATAACATATGTTGTTAGTTCATGTGCTATATTTGTATTATATTAATACATTCAATGTGTTTTCTATAATAATATTATATGCTACCAAACAACACATGACGTACTTTTCAAAATAGTATTGAATTTTAAATTCAGCTACAAAATTCAGTATTATATATATATATATATATATATATATATAGTATGGCACGTGCTTTACTCATCTTTCTCTAGCCTTACATGGACGGATAGATAGATGGATTGGTGGAATATTGTACTGTGGGGTTTTATCAATGATACCCCATCACATATTCACATATGTAGTTATATGTAGTTGTATTGGAAGATGGGTTATCACTTTATAAGCTTATTTAGAATCGTCACGAGTCTGCTTGTTTGGATGTTTCGATTTTGAGTAATAAAATTTAAAATTTTTTTATTTTATTTGATGTGATATTTTAAATATAAAATTATATTTTTATAAAATATATAAAATAAAAAATAAATGTTTCATTTGATATTTTTAAAATAAAAAAACTAGAATAAGCGTAAAAACTCCCAAGAATCTCTTAAACAAACACACAAGTATGTATTTCATCATATATTTCTTCATATTGTTTTATGTTCATCAAAAATTTTCTTAAAAACATATGAAATTAAATATTTAATTTTTATTTTTATATTATTAATATAAATTCAAAATACGAAGTCAATACTTATTTATATAACATTATATAATTATTTAATTTAATATTTTTACTATTTAAATCTAAAACCTAGACTTCAAACCCTTGAAAAAAACAAACGCTTTATTTATTTATTTATATTTTCAAAAATATTTTTGCATTATTTATCGTAAATAAAGAATCTTATTTTATATTCAACATACTCCATTCCCCTGACAACATACCCGTGTAATTATTCATAACATCCACAAACACATTTTCTTTTATTTATTAAGTGTTGATCTAATAATATTTGTTAGCATATTATATTAATAAACCTATTCTTACATATTAAAAATTTGGTGTGTTTGTTCGGTTGTGTGTGTAATTGGTTTTTTTTTTTTTTTTAAAAAAAAAGAAAATTATGTTAGATATAAGAAAATGCATCCATAATATAAAAATCATTTGTGTTAAATTATTGATTTTTATTTTTAAATGAATAGAATATTTATTAAAGTTTTTTGTGTGTATATATTACATTTTTTATAATATTAATCAAGAAATATGCTGAAAATTTTTAATTGGGTGAGAAAATTCTAATACTTAATATCATTTTACATAAAGTAATATTCTTTTTAACATACATTTTTTGTTGGTTTTTTTGTACATGTGTCATTTGCCATTTTTTTTGTTATACAAGTTGAAGGTTCCTCCTCAACCTCACTTGACCGGTAATTAAAATATATAATATATATTTATCATTCAAAATATCAAATACATTATATGTACGTTAAAAATTAAATATTTAAATTAAATTAAATATCATGCATTTTGAAAAAAAATAAAATTTCAATAAAATAAATATATTATATTTAATTATACACATATGTTAATTTTGGTACAATAAATATTAATCATTAATGCAAAATTCTGCTTAAAATAGAAAATATTGTACAAATATTACGTGCATAAATAGAGTCATAATAAATTTGGTAGCAAATAAATAAATCTTGTCAATAAAGAAAGTATTATAATTAATATCTTTCGAAAAAAGGCAATGATATAAAGAACTTCGCGAGAAAGAAAGACGCAAAATCAAATTATTCAAGAATGGAAAACAATATCTAGGAAAGATAATAAAATCTTCCTGTTGGCCAATCAAGACGCACCATGTGGCATTATTAAAAAAGGAAGCCGATATCACCCCTCCGCTATATATAGGGGTCATAGCCAATTCATTTGACACACCAAAGTTACATCGAAGATTCAAGCAAATGAGTAAGTCTCTAGACTTTCTTTGTATTATTCTTCATGTTCTTCGTTTCTTTCGAAGCGTTCTTCGTCGAAAGTCACTGATTTGGACAAATGATCCAATATTGGTTGACGAATCGATGGAGTTAACGTTCTTCGTCATATGCCCAAGCCGGAGAAAGGATCAAAGCTCCAAAAACCGTTGAAAGATCTATCAAAGCCAATGAAGAGCCTCCCAAGTTCATTTCAAAGCTTAAAGGTGTTTGTCGCGTTCTTCGTCAAAAGTATCAACCAGGCCCTCTTCGATCCAAAAGTCAAAGAGACAGCCACTAAAAGTGTCATGGAACACCAAATCCACCTCCTCAAAGATCAAAGCCTCGGATCGTCCAAAGAAGATATCAAATCCAAAGCCGACGATCAAGTCGCTCACACGAAGACCAAAGCTCTCCAAAAGGCTGCAAAGCCAAACCAAAGATCAAAGCCGTGGATCGTCCAAATAAGACATCAAATCCAAAGCCGGCGATCAAATCGCCCACATGGAGACCAAAGCTCTCCAAAATGCGGCAAAACCAAACCAAAGATCAAAACCTCGGATCGTCCAAAAAAGACATCAAATTCAAAGTTAACGTTCAAATCGTCCACACGGAGACCAAAGCTCTTCAAAAGGTGGCAAAGACGAACCAAAGATCAAAGTCTTGGATTGTCTAAAGAAGACATCAAATCCAAAGCCGACGATTATGCCGCCCACACGGATACCAAAGTTCTCCAAAAAGGCAGCAAGCCAAATCAAATATCAAAGCCGCGTATCGTCAAAGAAGACCATCAAATCCAATGCCGATGACCAAATCGCCTACACGGAGACCAAAGCTCTTCAAAAGGCGGCAAAGTCAAAACAAAGATCAAAACCTTGGATCGTCCAAAGAAGACATCAAATCCAAAGCCGACGATCAAATCGCCGATACGGAGACCAAAGCTCTCCAAAAGGCGGCAAAGCCAAACTAAATATCAAAGCCTCGGATTGTCCAAAGAAGATATTAAATTCAAAGCTGACGATCAAATCGCCCCCTACGAAGACCAAAGCTCTCCGAAAGCCAGCAAAGCTAAACCAAAGATCAAAGCTTCTGATCGTCTAAAGAAGACATCAAATCCAAAGCCGACGATCGAATCACCCACACGGAGACCAAAGCTCTCCAAAAGGCGGCACAGTCAAACCAAAGATCAAAGCCTCAGATCGTCCAAAGAAGACATGAAATCTAAAGCCGACGATCAAATCGTCCATATGGAGACCAAAGCCCTCCAAAAGTCGGCAAAGCCAAATCAAAGATCAAAGCCGCGGATCGTCTAAAGAAGACATCAAATCCAAAGTCGATGATCAAATAGCCCACACGGAGACCAAAACTCTCCAAAAAGCGGCAAAATCAAAGATCAAAGATCAAAGTCTTGGATCGTCCAAAGAGGACATCAAATCCAAAGACGACAATCAAATTACCCACACGGAGACCAAAACCCTCCAAAGTTCGATAAAGTCAAATTGAAGACCAAATCTCTTCGGATCAAAGAAACCATCGAAAATTAAGTTAGAAAACAAATCGACCTGAAAGGAGAATCAAATGACTCATTTAGAGAATATGACCCGCTTTAAATCCAAATTAAATATAATTTGTACAAATTTTTATATTTATTAAAAATAACATAATTTTTTTGTCTACAATAAATATTTATATCAAATAAAAATTTATTTTCTATTCAAATCGTTTTACCATTTATAAACCAACCCTAATTCATTAATGTGTCTTAGGGGTGTGGTCACTAACACTATTCAATATAAACCGTTCCTTGGATCATGTATTAATAATTGGAGTAGGCACAAAATCAATTATTGAAGTGTTTGTAAGGCAACTTTAATTAATTATATGATAGAGATATTCAAGAAATATACGTATTAATAATATATTATTAATGTTTTTCTTATGCATTTTAACACATCAATAATATGATTCAATGTATTTACTACTTCGTTCAGCACTTAATTCAATGTATATAAGGAGGCAAATAAAATTGCAGTATTTATGTTATCATGACTATTTATTAAACATTTTCTTATATATTATACTACATCCGTCCACAACCAATTTATTCGTTTATTTTTGGCATCATTGTTTTTAATATTAAAAATATCTTTATATTTGTATATATTTTTTGTATAAATATCGTTACATTACTACTATAAGACACCAATAGAATTATTTTTGTTGTTTTTCCTGAATTTGTATTACATTTTAATATAATAATTAATATTTAAATATTAACATGCAAAAAGTAAATTGATAGATTCGCGGTGGACGGAGATAGTATATAATTAATGCCGTAACAAACAAAGTATTACATAAAATGTTTGAGAAAAGTTATGAGATCAAACTTAAACTGATGTCTGTAAGTATAAAAATTAGGGTTTGATCCACTGAAGATGGCCTTTATTCTCAATTAATGTAGCACAAAAGAAATATTATTCAAATAATAATAATAATAATAATAATAAAGTGATTTTGATGGTATA